GATCTGTGGAGCAGAGGAAAGGTGTGTGTGTGTGCGTGTGTGTGCATGCGTGAGGGAGGGATGGCAGTGTGCTTGCATTAACTGGAGGGATAGTGGATGGCTAGGAAATACAGGAGGCTGCCTGCATGTAAAGATACAGTCCATGGTACATTAAAATAATCAGTACAGTGACATTCTATTAAACACTATTCACACCTCTTGGACTTGTTTTATAGCTTTACAACTGTAAATCACAGTGGATGTAATTGGTAAATGCCAACAGCTGTTTTTGTCAACAAGTCTTCAGCCACACTAACCATAGATAGAGTAACAGATACCTCATTGGCTGCTGCTGTATGCCACCAATATACGTCTGCACAGTTGCCATATTGTGGAGGTCAAGATCTATGAGTTATTAATACTGAGAGATGCAGACTTCACTACAAAATCTGGCTTAATTCATAAACATGAGAAACTGAAAGTAATACTGGTTACTTGTAGGAATAGACTAGACTTCCACTGGGACATGTAGGCTCCAATCTATGAATAGGCAACATCAAGTGTAAGTTATTTACAATTTTAGCTTTTGAGTACCTGAATTAATTTCTCCAAGTAATCACCATCATGTTCAGTTTCTCACAATTATAACTAGCCAAATTTCATGAAAATCGGTTCAGAATTAAGCAGGGTACAGTTGATTCTGTTGTTAAGTCTGCAGCTCTCAGTACTGATAACTAGAGTATCTTGACCTCCCAATATGGCGACCATGCAGACACTGTCAAATTGTGAACACAGTACCTATGTTTCTCTATCTATGACACTAATGCTAACATGCCTACAATGACAATGCTAACATGCTGATGTTGATAACAGGTATAATGTTTACCATGTTTATCATCTTTATTTACCATGTTAGCATAACATATGCTGATTAACACTAAACATTAAGTTCAGCTGAGCCTGATGGGAAAAAATGTTATTAGTGTTCCAAGTATTTGGTCAAAAACTAAAGTACTGGACACATTAAGATGTTGACCTTATGATGGCGCTAGAGGAAAAGTCAGGGAATCGCCATGGTGATCAGTGGTACCATGAATGTATGTGGAAAGTTGCATGTCAATCCATTCAATAGTTAGCAGATATTTCAGCGTGGACCAAAGTGGTGGACTGATCAAAGACCAAAAGGCCAACATTGCCATCCCATGAGCCATGCTGCTAGCACGACTAATATTGCAAAAAAAAGGCTGATCTGTGCTCTGTGTGAGAAGGGCACTGGTGAGGGAGGCCACCAAGATGGCAATGAAAGAGCTACAGGGTCTAACAGCTGAGATCAGCGACCCTGTGAATGTAACAATTGTTGCTCTGGTGTTTGACCACAGTGGCAGAGAAAAAGCCACAAATGAAAAAAAACATGACATCTACGTGACTGTTAACCATGGGGCAAGCGGAAGAAGGTTTTATGGTCGGATGAGACCATGAGCCTTTAACCAAACACTGCACCTCAATAGAAACAAACATCCCCCGGTAGGAAGTGTGGTGAGTGCTTCTCTGCTGATGACGGTAGACCACGACACGAATCAATCACAATACTGACATATCGTGAAAGAAACAAATTAAACAGGATGAACACTAATGCTTGCAGACACATTGGGCTGAATATAAAACAATTACTAACCTAGCCTCCTGTCTCTCTGCAGCAGGCATAATCTGCTCTGCAAGTGAGCAATCAGCCACAAAGCTCATCATCCCATCCAAGTAGATTAATCTGACAACAGTCAAACTACAGCCCTGATTTACACAACATCCATCCTCTAGCTGTCCCCTGAAACTCCACTTTAATTCCTTCCAGATGTTCATAAAGGACAGTCTCCCTTCCATACATTGTCTCCTCATGTCATTCTCTCGTAACATTTATCTCTCCCTACAAACACCTGATACCTCTGCATTGTGCACAGTTCTCTTTTTTGCATTTAGCTGAAGCTGCTTTCAAGTTCCTCTCCTTTTCCTGCACTCGTCCTTTGCTCAGTTTCTCTGCTGAGACAGGTTCTCTGACCTATTTCTGTCTCCTTCCTGTAGGGAAGATGTGTGTGTGTGGGAGTAGAGCTTGCAGTAGTTAAACCTGCTCCAATACAGCGCTGCTGACTGAATCATTCATACAGTGGACAACCAATCCATCTTGTCAAGTCCTGAAATCCAATTTATTTATTTAGCAATAAATTCTACTAATAACAGGGTGAGTCTAATGGCAGGGAGAGGCTGCGGTTCATGTATTTCCCTGCAGTAAGTGTCAGTATCTTAAAACGAGAGCAGAATATCAATCATGGAATAAAAACCCCACCTTCAAACTGTCCACCGGCTGATTTTTGTCCAAAGAAAATATTCTGATTACATTATGTTTTTATGTACTGATCTAATAAGCAGTATATTCTGTAGCAAGATTTTGGTTTGTATTTTTATTTAAAGTATTTACTTGGTTTACTAAATAGTGTACATGTTATTTTATTATTGTTATTATCTACCTTATTTTGCTTAGCTCTATATGGACAGAGGGAGGGGGAGTGGGAGGATGTTGTCTCTGGAGGATACATTTGTACACATCTTCTTGGGCAGAAAAAAATAAATGCCAAGTGCAGGTAAAAATCTGAATGGATAAGATATTCAAAGAGAACAAAGGTTTAAGACCAGAGCTGCTGCTGCTATGTGGGCGCCACTTTACCATTTTAAGTCTATGTGTCTATAGGACTGACAAAATATGTAGGTTTGGGTGAACATGGTGACTATGTTGATTGTTCATTCTAAATAATCTAAATAAACACAGTATGAAGAGAGAAAGAACACTTGGTTGGGTTGTCTCACCGTGTTCTGGCTGATGTGCCTGCATCTGAGGGCTCCGGTGCCGTCACTGGGTGCTGGTGTTTGGTTCGCTCCAGGTGCTCCATATAGCTGTGGATCATCTGGAAGGTACATAACACACAGAGAGTCAAGGCATCGTATCGTTTTGTATTTACATGTTTTATGTGCTGTATTAAAATATACCCTTGCATTTATGTACTCCAGCCTGTACTATTAAAAGGAATATTAAAAAATATGACCATGTTGCTACCAAACTACAGGGTATTTGATTGTTACCGTCACCAGAACTCCTACCATCTTACACTGTTATTATCATGATCAACATATGAAGTGTACTCAAGCACAGCTGTGGCAGTCAGACTCACAATAATGATGTAGCTGTACCAACAGTGTGTTGGTGACAGCTCTTATAAGACTTTCATCTTCTCTATTCAACGTTAGTCAGATCAGCAGTAGGCTGCTGAAGCACCTGTTAGTGATGCATAATGAATAACAGACCAAAGGCTCCGCAGAAGCACATTTCATGTATGGATACTTCATGTTTTAATCATCTCTAACTCTATTACACTCTTCACTACCTTTGTTTTTCTATCACTCACAGGTCAGATGTTAAATTCTCTCTTTCTTCAACCTTTTACTGTGTTTTGTTAACCCGCTAATGAAATTCCTCTTCTCTTTCATTGATAATCATTTTTCTGCAAATACTGTACGTTAAATAGAGAGACAACAAATGACTTGTTATCAATTAACTCTAACTAATAAATCCATTAATACATATTCATGAACACATGTATTAACACATTCATTGTTTCCACCTCTAGTATGTCTCATGATTGGTTCTGTATTCATCTGTTAACTCCCAGGACAGCAGACGTTGTTCAATATCTTTCCCTGTATTTGCCTCTTTATAAATGTCTCTAAATTCTAAATCATTCACCTTTAAAATTGTCAAAAAAATAGACGTTATTGGTTATTGCATTGTGAACAAAGTTAAAAAGAACACTGTGTATAAGCACATGCATGGATGAGCAACCTTGTGATGAACTTAAGCAAACATATTTTAATCCCAGACCAGCTTACCTCTGTGTGCCTCTGATGAAGGGCATTATACTCCTTCTTGAGCTCTGCTTCTCTCTCCTCAAATCTGCTAACTGGATGAAAAAGAAAAACAATGATCAGAAACAGCCAACAAACATTGTATCAAGATTGACTGACAACAGGGAGCTTTGTCTCAAAATTCCACTTGTCCTATCTAAAATAACTAATGTCATTTCATACATTCTTTGAATGTGGATCAGACTGTTCAGATGCATGTCTCACCCAGTGGGAAATCAACTATTTCTACCTCACATTCAGATCATGTAATTCTGTGGCATGTGAACGTGGTGATAGTTGCTGCAATAACATCTCAGAGCCAGAAGAGGGCCACCATGCATCAACAAAGCCCTCCTGAGACACCGAGCAGAAAGTCTGCACACAGTGAGAGTACTTCACCTCTCTGATCCCAGCTATGAAATCAAACTCTTCATCATACACAACAATAATGATGTAAACACCTACATCTATGTAAAAAGACACAGCAGCTCCTTGGGTCTCTGATTACAGTGGTCTAATAAAACACTGCTGCATTTTAATGTAGGTGGTTTGTAATAATAAAAGTCAAAGTAAGCTCAAGGCAAAGACTGACTGTCTCCTTTAAAACTTAAGCTGGTAGTGAAACCCATGTACAAGTCAAAGACTACAAAAACTAACCAAAAAGGGGGAAAAAACATGTAATGAAGAATCCACACACCTATCTACAGATCAACCATCAGCCTCAGTCATCCTCAGTCAGCAACAACAGGAATCCATTCTTTATGGTGGCTCTAAGGTGCCATTAGTTTGTAGTCAAAACAGCCCGACAGCCATAGTGTGTTTTCAGATGTCAGCCAAGCAAAATGCGCTTTCTCAGAAGGTGGATAGTGACACTAAAACGTCCTCTGCAAATCCGTCGACGTGTCTGTGCGCTGAGCGACTAATTCACAGGACCTTTCACGCTTCATGCTTTTGCAACACCGGTTGTCAGTCAGAAATAGCAGTTTTCTCAGGTGTTCAACCAGGCTCAAGTACACAATTTAGAGATATTCAACACCTACGCGATCAGCCACAGCCAGACAGCAGCTGCGTGTAGTGATGTTAACTGTGATTCAGTGTGGTTATGACGGGGATGATAGAGGAACTAGTGGTTAAAGAGTGGAGCAGAAATAACCTAGGTCAGATACAGAGGTGTGCAGAATAAGAGGAACTGATCCTGAAGGAAAGCCCCACATGAAAAGCTTGAATTTGTCCTACTGAAAGAACTGATCTTTTAATCAATATCCAAGTAAAACATACTTAAGATACTATTTAAGGAATAATTTGAGAGCCCAGGGCCAAAGGTGACCCAAATATATTCAGTTTACTGTGATATATGACAAAGAGAAGCAAGCAGCAAATCCTCCCATGTTCCCATTTCAGAAGCTAAAACCTGAGAAACTGTTGCATCATTTTACTATTTTAGTTTGATAAAGATCTGAAATGATTGATTACCAAAATAGTTGCTGATTATTTTTGTTGATTATTCCAGCTCTAGTCCCAAATTCAAGTCACCTTTCACCCCTGCCCATCCCCTTGAATTCTACATTGTAAGCCATCCAATAGAGTCAAAATGACATTAAAATAAAAAAAGAAAGTAATGAAATTGTACATTAATGAACATTAATGAACAGAAAATGAATTTGACAGTGTGTTTGTTTACATTCGTAAAAGTGTCCTCGGGTTTATAGAATTAGACTGTGTGTGTGTTCCACTGACGTGATCAAACACAGCTTCGGGATCCAAAACATACTGCTGCCAATCCGGTCCACAAACATAATTACAGACAAATGAAACTCACAAACAGAGAAAAGGGGAAGTGTCACATCGAAAGAAATAAAAAGAAATTTGCTGAGAGCTCTCAAATTTTTCCTTAGAATGAACGAGGCTTATGTTGCGGTCCCGCGGCGGGACAAACAAACAGTCACACACCCTGTCAACAACAGTGCAGTCATGCACACATCATGAGGGTTTCTTCTGATGCCCTGGAAAGACTAGCACACTCTTCTTCAGGAAGACCTCACTGCCCTTTACATTTACAATCACTTCCTGCTTCAGAAAAAGATATAATGATCAGTTTCTTTTTATATGATTGTTTTAGACATTTTTTTTATCTAGAAACACAGAATGCTACTAAAAGAACATTTTGTTTTCCAAATAAAAAAATAAAAAAAACACAAGCAGGTCAAGGCCTCAGCTCCCTAAAATGCTCCTGTCCTCTCGGCTGAACCCTTTTGGTCTTGGACCATGTTTGGTCTATTCCATTACAGCTCATTTAGCAGACATGGCAGGCAAACACGCATAGTATGTTACTAATGGCCTTTACTCAGAGGGGACATGGGAGTCCATCTGCCCTCTGGCACATCAGGCTAACAAACAGTCACAAGACCTGCAAACTGTCGATGCTGCTCACAGGGTCTCTGCCTTGTGTGTGTGTGTGTGTGTGTGTGTGTGTGTGTGTTAGACTTTCCAATAATAGAGCTGGTACAGTGAAACCTGTCTGTGACAGATGCAGTACAGTGCAGTGGACTTACTCTGATCTGCATAGTTTCTAGTTTTCAGCTCTAGCTGACGTGTGTGCGACTCCAACTTCACCAGTCGACACTGGAGATCCTTCTTCTCGCCATCCTGGGTGTCTTCAAAGGCGATGTACCTCTGCAGATAAAAGGAGAACATAGAGAGAAAGAACAGAGCATGAATTATCAGAGCGCTGAGAGAACACGACGACTGATTGATTACATGTTTTGTTTATGGCAACAGGAGACAGAAATGTCACACGTGCATGTGGCAGCCAGTTCCTCTTAGCCAGTCTGACCTCACAATCATCACCATCTATGACATCAAACCCTTTTTAAGGTGCATGGGAACGAGTTAGGGCTGAAATGGAGATGGTGTGGACTAAATCCTGCATTTGTGTGTGTTGATAACCGTAGAAAATAGAGCAGTATCTGTCTTCTGTCCATTGTAAGAGTCATCTAACCTCTCTGCACAGCAACAGCTGCACAGCGCCAGCTTCCTCAGCTCAAAAAAAAATAACTACCAACGGATACAGCGACAGCCTTTCTGTTGATATCAGTGCCAACACACCAGCCGTAGTCACTAGCCTCAGCCCTTCTCTCAGGGGATCTTAGAGTAACAACTGTTTTCATAGCAGGAGAGACTGGAGAAACTATCACACAGGACAGTGGGTGCACTCTGACCATCATCAACAATAAATCATAATGATGAGTCAAATAAATCAGGGGTCAGAGATAGAATGGACATTTGGGGCTTTGACCCAGCTTCCCAAACTGTCCCCAGCCACTAACCCACCGTTCTGCCCAAAACTAATCCATTTTAATGCTGGGTTAACCACTGCTCCCTGATGGCAATTTACACTGTGTTTGTGAATACAGAGTAGATTAGATGAAACGTTAATGAGCTCTGAACGGAAGTAGGTCTCTGAAGGGACAAATGGCAAGATATAGTGAAGAGAAACGTCAGTCAATGTGGGTACCTTAACGAGAAGACACTGTTGAAGAAAGAGTGAATGAGAAAATGTATTAATGTATGCTAACATGCTCACAATGACAATGTTAACCTGCTGTGGTATCATTTTTTAATTAGCACTAAAAACTCAATAGTTTTTCAGATACTTGAAGCATGACATCAGCATGAGTCCTTGCTGCAGCGGCCCAGGGTTCGAATCCGACCTGCGGCCC